CCACAATTGAAGAGCCTCAGGTGAAAAAATGAATCTGACGTCACTGCAGAATATGCAACTACCTATTAGAAGGCCATGAATTTCACTTCCAAAACGGATCCAAATACAAAAGTAAAAATAATTTCTCATGGAACTCAGAGAATTTAATTTACATAAGAAGATGCAAAGCTTGCCACGAAGATTAAATCGCCTACAATTTACGGCTCCCCATATCAGAAAAATACCCCTTAGCCAACATATAAAGGAATGCAGAAAAAGAAATCTACCAAATTCTAATATCTTCCCATTCTACCAATACAACTAAAAAAACACCGAACAAAACCGCATTAAAAAAGAAATATTTTTTTATTAATATATTTAAACTCAAAACTCAATTCATTACATAAACCAGAAGCTCATCCCTTAAAATAGATTCATATTTTCATTAACATAAGCGACATATAAAACCAGTTACGGTCCTTGATGTTTTTTTTATTTTATTCGAGGCATAAGCGTCAACACGTGGAAATATAAATATTTACAAATTTTTGAAAAGCTAAAAGTGAAACTGCTTAAAGTAAAACATTTTTCTGAAAACCGATATATAAGTAAAACAATTTTAATTTTAATAATTCTCGGTATTCAACATCGTCTTTTTCATGTTGAATTTGAATATGCTCTAGTGTTAATTATGTTTTATGAATATGTCCTGATGATGGTCTAAAATAGACCGAAACGTCCGACGTTTACATTATATTAACATCAATACAGCATAATTACATATTAAGATTTTTGTTTGTTTTTTTTCTGTATATTTTTCTGCACTGATGAGTGTGTATCTATTGTGTTTGGGGAGTGATCAGACTTTATCTGCAGAGCAATATACTGGTTGCTCCTACGTTCTATGCCCCCCCGCTTCAGATTATAAGTGATCATGTCTCTCCATAACTTCCTATCCTTTGTAGAATTCTTTGCTTTTTACTCTCCTTCCAGTTCCCTGTTTTGTCATCCATTTTCACAAACTTATTCGGTTGGTTACTTGCTGTTTCTCTTAACACATTTTGCCTTCAGTATGTCTTATGAGTGTCAAATTCTACAAGCACTCTTTTCTCGTTATATGTACTACCCGTGTCTTTCTCATTCTATCTATAGAGGTCTTTAGCAGTATATTACGTTGCACAATTTATTATGTAGGAAGGAAATACGAAATCCGTTCATCAAATTTTAGATTTACAACTTAGACTCTCTCATACAATCGCCTAAGAAAAGTTTTTAGCCAGAAGAAATAAACTACATCCAATTCCAAAATTTAATTACGTAATCACTATGCAACATAAACAAACAGCATTTGGAACTAGTAGGTCCTCCATTTGCTAGTTTCAGTGCTTGTATTCGATTTTTCATGGATTTATCAACAATCAACAATCGTCCGAGCCATATTTTGCCACTACTTTAACAATGTTTCTTTAAGGGTTGCCAATGTCATGAGTTTGGTTGTACGCTCTCGAAGTTTTTAATCAAGGTGCTCCCAAAAGTTCTCTATTGCATTAATGTCAGGATTTTGGGCTACCCATGACAGTGACTTGATTCCTTGCGATTTCTTCCAGGCCTTTGCTACTTTGCTTGAATGACATGGCGCTCCGTCTTCTTGAAAAGGTAGACATTCTTGTCAATCTGATTGGTTTCAAATAGTGGGAGTAGTTCTTTTCTCTAATATTTGACACTCTTCTGGACAATTCAACCCCTCGTCAACAAGAATCAGCCCAGATTTCCCTCCAAACAAGACAACGTCCCACACCATTACTCAAATCCCTCCATATTTCAGTGTTCCAAGTCTCATTCTGATTTCTCTAAACATAAACCAATCTCGAATTAGAATATTGGTAGAATTTACTTTCATCTGATGAAATTACAGACTGCCAAAATTCATAATCTTTGCTCTCACATTCTCTCGCCCAATCCATACAAAGGTTCCTGTTAACCTCTGAAATCAAGGGCTTCTTTCTTGAAACTCTTCTTCGATAGCCTAGCTCTATCAGAGTCTTTCTCACCGCACACGGCGACATTTCCATGCTGTTGTCGACATCTTTGACGCTCTGACGACGGTTTCTGATGACTTCCCTATTCAGTGCCCTTTTCGTTCGCTCAGTCACGATGCTTGATCTTCCTGGGCGTTGGCCTTCTTCATTAAATGTCTTGACAATATTATTAACCGTTTGATGATTAACCTGGAAAAACCTAGCAATTTCTTTATTTGACTTGGCACACTGATGCCATCCTATTATTTGCCCTTGTTGAAATTCACTAAATTCACTAATTTCCATACTTCCACGAACTTTCATTGCAAGATATAAAATATATTTATCGTTCAGAGATAAAAGTAACTTGATACTAACACTGTATTGTCTGAAAAAAAAAGAAGAGACTTTATTAAACAAGCGAAAATTGCTGTAATCAAGAGAGGATAAAAATGTATGCAAATTCTATTCCCTTTTGTCCTTTGGTAAGACATTTAGTTGGTACCTATAATAGCAATCTCGCAGTCGGCATTCTCCAAAGATCTTCGCGTGAATGAAGAAAATGCATGAAATAAAAAAACTATTATCGTCTCAGTATGAACAGTTCTGCCATTGCCCTTGATTCAGCACTTACACCGACACTCACTGAAACGGTCGAAAACAGAAAGTTGCGAGTTAAGGTAGAATACCGCTCATAATACTGTGAAACTAAGGAATGTGTGTCCGCCTGGAAATTAGGCACTTGGAATAAACAAAGTAATCCTACAACATAGCCAGGGGTAAAGAGAACCGTATTAGAGGCTCTTTTCCGAAGATAGATAGATAGATAGATAGATAGATAGATAGATAGATATAGATATGAACAGAATGAGATATATGAACAGACTGATGATAGATAGATATGAATAGATAGATAGATAGATAGATAGATAGATAGATAGATAGATAGATAGATATGAACAGAATGAAATAGATATGAACAGTCTGAGATAGATATGAACAGACTGAGTTAGATAGATAGATAGATAGATAGATAGATAGATAGATAGATATGAACAGAATGAAATATTTATAGATAGATAGATAGAGATAGATATGAACAGACTGAGATAGATAGATAGATAGATAGATAGATAGATAGATAGATAGATATGAACAGAATGAAATATTTATAGATAGATAGATAGAGATAGATATGAACAGACTGAGTTAGATAGATAGATAGATAGATAGATAGATAGATAGATAGATAGATAGATAGATAGATAGATAGATATGAACAGAATGAAATATTTATAGATAGATAGATAGAGATAGATATGAACAGACTGAGTTAGATAGATAGATAGATAGATAGATAGATATGAACAGAATGAAATATTTATAGATAGATAGATAGATAGATATGAACAGAATGAAATCGATATGAACAGTCTGAGATAGATAGATAGATAGATAGATAGATAGATAGATAGATAGATAGATAGATAGATAGATAGATATGAACAGAATGAAATAGATATGAACAGACTGAGATAGATAGATAGATAGATATGAACAGAATGAAATAGATATGAACAGACTGAGATAGATAGATAGATAGATAGATAGATAGATAGATAGATAGATAGATAGATAGGCCAAGTGAGAAAATGAAAATAAAATAAAAAAGCTCATCGATAGGAAGCCGGAGAAGGAATGGCTTGGCCGGTCTAAACCGATTATGCAAAGAACTAACTCTATAAATAAGCAAGTGATGCGAGCAGGTTCCTTCCTAACAAGAGAAATGATGTTTTTGGCGCTTATCTCGCTCTTCGGAAAATTGTATCGTGCTAGAATGGTAAGTTATGATGTGAGTCAGGGTGGGGATGGTTGTTTCATGTTTGAATAGGGCAGGGATGGAGACACTCCTAAAAAGTTTCTCTCATATGACATTACTTCATATCAACAAATTCGTTTGGCGATTTTTTCTTCTTTCTCTTCCCATATTCATTAGCAGTCGCTGTTGAGTAATCATCATCATCACTATCTGTTTCTTGCTCTTTCCTTTTCTACTTTTTTTTATTCTAAGCTCTTCCCTTTTCTTTCACTTGTTTTTCTTCTCTTGAACTATCGTTTTAATTTTTTTTTTTTTTTCGCACTTTATTTCTCCCTAAAATTTAAATCTGGACCATTTTAAACGTTCTTATTTCGCAAAATTTTCTTCTTTTTATAATTGATTCTTTCTCTCTTTTTTCTTTTTTTTTTTTCTCTCTTCGACTCTCCATTTTTACTACGAGGGATCACCTATGCATAATAATACTTTTCTCTTTTCCCAACGTCATTATCATTATCAATACCATTCTCAGCATTTATCTGAATGATTTTGTTTATTTTTCCGCGTTTTTTTTTTTTCCCCCTTTTATTTCAGTTTTCGTTCTACTTTCGCTTTCGATCTACCAATCACTCTCTTGGCTTTATTCGAAATTTCCCATTTCCTAAATTCCTCATTCTCAACCTTCTTTTTAGAACCCAATTAGTTCCCCCTCCCAAACCAAACATGAATCACATTTCCGTAGCGCATTCATTGTACTCTAACCACTTTAAGTCCTCAAACTAGACCCGATGGTACAAACATAACCCGTATCAAGTAAATTCCAATTGCGAAACAAATAAAACAAATTGTCTTCATCTAAAATGCAATTAAATCAGTCATCTTGGAGATCTTTCTTCCGTTAACGTAGGCACCAAAATACATCCTACTCCAACCAAGACAATGACCTTAACTGTGATCCAGAAATGAATTCGGCCTGTCCCTTTCCTGCTCCTAAAACTTGATGTCCCACCAGCCAACCAAATCACCGAATGCTGAAAACCAACCACCCTCCATAACTTCACATTTTCGATCAATACTTGTCGTTAGGCAAACGACCATAATCTGTCTTCCTTACTTTCCTTTTCTTTCCTAACCGAGCCTACTTTCCTTAAAATGAATTTTAACATACCATATTCTGCCAGCCTCATCCTTTCTCTTGATACCGATATACGGCTAACATTTACCATGACGTTATATCCAAACAATGTTTGCCTAATATTCTCTCTCTTTCACTTTGTATTTCTCTCTCTCTCTCTCTCTCTCTCTCTATATATATATATATATATATATATATATATATATATATATATATATATATATATATATATATATATCCTTTTGGTTTTTTTTTCTTACTTACTTCTCTTTTCCGACCCTTAAATACACTCAACACTTACTTTAACACTAACCGCAGACCCGTAAATTCAGTCAGTCCAGTGGCTATCTCTCGCTGGATTCCAACTAACACCATATTCACCTCGCATCATCGAAAAAGAGTCGGTCAAACTCAGAACGTGTGTCGTCTCGAGTCTTACATTAGCGGCATGAATTGCGACAGGCCCTGGCTTTTAAGAAGCGGATCATAAATTTTCTGGTTCAATATTTGGTGACCGTTGAATAATTCATGCCGAGTGACAATCGTATTAGTCGCCTGCCTCTGATTCCCAATCTCTGATTTTATGATCACTGACAGCTTGGCGCGCAACTTGCCGATCAACTTTATATTATTAGGCCTTAAGATGGTTTTGAGCACAAAGCCTCAGCTTTTCAGGAAAGCAGTCTCCGGAACGGGCAGGAAAGAATTGAAGAGCAGACATGTAAAAGAGAGTTACTACGTATATTTTCTTTTATGTGCCGTGTCCCGTGAGGACCTAGAAGAACATGTGCCTCCACATCTTCCTTAAGTTGTTTTTGAGCACAAAGCCTCAGCTTTTCAGGAAAGCAGTCTCCGGAACGGGCAGGAAAGAATTGAAGAGCGGGCATGTAAAAGAGAGTTACTACGTATATTTTCTTTTATGTGCCGTGTCCCGTGAGGACCTAGAAGAACATGTGCCTCCACATCTTCCTTAAGATGGTTTTGAGCACAAAGCCTCAGCTTTTCAGGAAAGCAGTCTCCGGAACGGGCAGGAAAGAATTGAAGAGCGGGCATGTAAAAGAGAGTTACTACGTATATTTTCTTTTATGTGCCGTGTCCCGTGAGGACCTAGAAGAACATGTGCCTCCACATCTTCCTTAAGATAGTTTTGAGCACAAAGCCTCAGCTTTTCAGGAAAGCAGTCTCCGGAACGGACAGGAAAGAATTGAAGAGCAGACATGTAAAAGAGAGTTACTACGTATATTTTCTTTTATGTGCCGTGTCCCGTGAGGACCTAGAAGAACATGTGCCTCCACATCTTCCTTAAGATGGTTTTGAGCACAAAGCCTCAGCTTTTCAGGAAAGCAGTCTACGGAACGACCAGGAAAGAATTGAAGAGCGGACATGTAAAGGAGAGTTACTACGTATATATTTTTTTATGTGCCCTGTCCATTCAGGACGTGGGCGATCATCTCCACATCTTCTTGAGACTTGTAGCTCTTAATAAGTTTCTTTTTTTTTGTTATTTCTCCCAGACTCTGTTCTGCCAACCATTTGCTCAAGCCCATTAAGTATGTCACGCGTTGCTTTTCCCCGTATTTCTTTTCCTCTATCCGTCCAGTGTGTATCCTATTTTCCAAACCCTCTTTCCTCATTACATGTCCCAGAAATTTCAACTGCCTCTTCTTGATGTTAAGTTTAAGTTTCCTTTTTGTTTCCATTATCTCCAAAATCTCATCGTAGCTCGCATGTTCGGCTCATGGTATCCTCAGCATCCTTCTGTAGAACCACATTTCTGTTGCATCGAGCCTCTTCTGAATATGCGTGTTTTAGATATCTGAGATAAAAATAAAGAGTAGATAAATATAATTGATTTGAATCTGTAGCTGTTCACAAAACTGAACTAGGTATAAGAACACTTTCATGGAATGGCTAGTGGGGAATTGATTTATTTTCCTTAGTATGAACTAAGCGAACACTCGGACAGAGAATACGAAGTTGCAGTAGAAGATCTCTTTAACTCTAAAATAATCATTATCTCTATCTATAAAGGGCAGGACGTGTGTGTGTGTGTGTGTGTGTGTGTGTGTGTGTGTGTGTGTGTGTGTGTGTGTGTAACGAATGCACGACCGCAATTTTCGACGGATTTGCACCAAATTTTACATGCACATGCTCCAAGTTAGTGGCAAGGCCACGACCGACTTTGCATTTCCCAACTCACATCGATAGTGGAAATAATCGATTTTTTCATGCTTCTACGGCAGTTTTCATGTAGTTTGTGGCCATTTTCTACTGGCCAGAGTGAGAGCCTATAGCTGGCTGCCACGAATAGGCGGGAAGATTCTATTGGCCAGCGTGAGAGTCAACAGCTGACTGACATGAATGTTAACTAACATGCAAAAAAAATCGATAGTTGCATTCGTCACAAGTGGGAAAAATTTAAATCTGCATGGCACTTTACTCCAATTGGCTCATTCGCTTGCTTAAACTCAACGTTGATTCTGATTCCGCAGAACTAGGTTGGGTGTGAAAAGTATTTGTTGTTAACATTCTTTTTTCATTCGGTTTTTCCAGTTACGAGTTCTTTTTTTAAAGCTGATCGTTTTGTGTTCATTTTGTTTAGTATTTTTTTCGTAAGAGATTTAATATTTAGTATAGAGCTTAGAAAAAAATCGCAGTGTGAAATAGGCAAGAAGTAAGGCATGTAGCAACATCAGCACGGCAAAGGGCACTCCTTTAAAGGCAAGGAAGGGCAAAAAAAGTCAAGTGATAACGATTGTTGTATGAGTCATACGATTTTTGAATCAAGTCTTCTAATAATTCCTTTTCGTTTCTGGTAACAAATTTTGTCTTGACTTGATTACTCTGTAGCAAACAGGTGTTGATCATTTTTAATAATTTCACCTCAAGAAAGTCACTAAGACATAAGGGCTAAACGTGTTTGGAAGAATATGTACAAAAATAAATCATTATTAAGGAAAGAGAACAGTAAAAGAATAGACATTAAGAAGAACGAAAATAATTGGTCTGGTTTGTTTTACGGCATATCAACACCTCAGTGGGTTGTTTAATGCCGACAAGATTTTTATTCCTGGTAATATTTTCTTTTTCAAAAAATAAATTGCTGGTAATATTTTGCTGGTAATAATGTATGGCTGGTAATAAGTTGTTTCTTCAGAAATTTATTGTTGGTAATTTTTTCACAAAAAAGTGTTGCTGGAAATGATGTATCGCTGGTAATCATTTTACAAAGTATTTCTGGCATTAAATCCTATTTTACACTTTTATAGTGTTTTGACACCAATTTGGGGATTTACTATTTTCCCATAGCTGGGAACCTAACAGGTGCTACCACTCCAGGTGAGAGTGGAACTGGGAACACCAGCAATTAAGAGGCGGTTCCACGCTCCTCAAAACCTCCTGATCAGAAGCCTTGCTGTTGGATGTAGTTTATCGTCGTACCCATGGACGACCGAAGATAACGATTGAAACTGAATTTAAATTTCTGAAGATTGAAGTTGACTGGAAAACAAGAAGCCGGTATAGAGTTCAACAAGGCAGAGTTGCGAGAGAAGACGGTTACATCTGGCCATTTCAACTGTAAAATGATGAGATATTGTCCCCAATCTAGTAGTACGCTTAAATTCATAAAGTTTACGTACCAAAGAGCAAAACTCATCAGAACAATTAACATGAAAATATTTATAGAAAAGGCACAGGGAAGCTGCAGCGCTGGGAAAGAGACTAAAATCGTGGTGACAGGTTAGGAAAAATAACAAGAGAGATTCTTCTTTGTATTTTATCAACACATACTAAATATATAGCGGAAGCATCAGTCCAGATGTAACAATAAAAGTCATAAGGCATGGTGACTAGGGGTTTGAGTGTCATGGCCTTTTGCAAAAGCAGTTCATGCAAAATTATCCGCTCTCTCGCAGAAACTGTAACTAAGGTCCTTTGCGCAAATTTGCAGTAAACAACAGATGGGCTCTGCGGGTTTTGAAAAATACAAATGTGCCTAAAAAGACCTCTATAACAGGGTTTCGCTTCTCTAGCAAATGAGTGAGCTCGGATAACGAATAGCCAGCCATTAATATTTTATTACTATTGTATATAGTTTCTTTATGTTGGAAGAAAATAGATTATTAGTAAATGCTACATTTATGTTGAAGGAATTTTTTGAATAGCATGGGGGAAAGCTACATAAGTATATAAAACCATACATAGAGTCGATGCGAAGAAACACTCTATTAAAACTTATAAAATTATATATATATATATATATATATATATATATATATATATTTTTTTTTGTTTATTTCAGAAATATTTGAAACCCTTGTTTCCTTGTTTGTGAGCTGAGCTGCTTTCCTATTATAGAGCCATCAGTAGACAGCCATCATATTTAGTCTGAACTAGTCTTGATACTACAATTCCATCTTAGATAATGTCCTGATCGAACTTCGCAACATACTTAACGTCACTTACATTATTTTTGATCCCATGTCATGACTCTGCACAGCTTTATCTTTGAATTATCTTTGAATTACCACACTCTTTGTGGAAAGATAGTGGAGTGGTTGCTCGTCACCTCCACAGTTTTTAATCCAAATTTGTCCTTCTTCTAGACTGTTTACAAACTAAAGGTAGAGAGCCTAGTCTATCTTGTCATTTAGCTCACAGTCTGGCGGAAAGAAAAATAGGTTTCATATCTACATTTGTGCAAAAGTGAACACAAAAGACTTGTCAGGAGTTGAACTCGGCTCATCGATTCCCTTTTCCGCGGCAATAACCGTTACGCTACCCGCACCCGATTGTTCTGGTAACTTTCAATTCCACGTTTGCATTTTCAATATTTAATGCTGCATCGTAAATTTCCGGTCGCTAATGTGTGACATTATTGTTCTGTCGAATTTTGATATGGAATATCTTGAGTTGTTTTTTTGTTTTTTTTTTAGCCGATAAGACTGAATGCTTTGCTTAAAAATTCTCATCCAACTCAGTACACGACTTATCCGGGGTACTCACACCTGATTTTCTTTGAGACAGCTCCCCACAACCCAAGTTTCACTA